GTAGGTTCGGCAGGAGGGGAAAACTGAACCCCCGATTTATTGGACCATATGAAGTCTTAGACAGGATTGGTACTGCCGCCTATAGACTAGCACTGCCTTCAGAGCTCTCCAAGGTCCACAATGTATTCCATGTATCTATGCTACGTAAGTACAACCCGGACCCCTCTCATGTCTTGGCTCATGAACCACTTCTACTCCAAGAAGACTTATCTTATGAAGAAGTACCAGTCGGTATCACGGACCGAAAGAGCAGAATACTCCGCAATCAGGAAATATCATTTGTAAAGGTAGTGTGATAGAACCACTCGCCAATGGAGGCTACCTGGGAGCTAGAATCAGATTTTAGAGCACAGTTTCTCCATTTGTTCGACTAAGAGTAAGAGACAAATTTGGAGGACCAAATTTCTTTAAGGGGGGGAGAGTTGTAACACCCAAAATTTTTATTTTATTTTATTTTTATTTTTATTTTATTTTTATTAGAATTTTGTTTAATTTTATTCTATTTTAATATTTAATTTATAAGGTTTTAATTTAATTTAATAGAAATAATAATAATAATAATAATAAAATAGGGTAAAATTATTTTTAGGATTTAATTGAAATTGATTTCGGAAAAAAAAGGATGAAAATTTTGATTCTGGATGTGTTTTCGAAAAGAAAATCGAAAATCGGGAGGTCAAAACACAATTTAGAAAAATAGTGCCACATCAACAGCCACGTCAGCAGCCCCGGCCAACCAGAACACGCCGTGTGGCAGGGACGCTGATGCGAGAAGCCACGCGGGACGGAGACACGCAGGCGATCTGCGTACATGCGATCGGATGGCCCAGATTTGATCACGCACAGATGGCCCAGATCGCATCGCGATGGACGACCCAGATTTATTTCTAATTTAATCGCGATCAGACGGCTCAGATTAAATCGTGATGGACGGCTCAGATTAAAAGGGGAAGGTTATAAATAATCGCATCCACACCCAACCCCAAACCCTAGCTGCCAGAACCCTCACCGGAGAAGACGACCCAGCCACCAGATGAACCGGCTGCCGCTACCCGCCGTCGCACCAGAGGACTTTCTGGCTGCCAAACGAGGTAAAATTTCTCCCATTGGCTCATTTTTCGATGCCGAACCTCCCTGTAGCCAAATCGGAGCCAAACCACCAGCCGATTGGCCGAAAAACACCGCTGAAATCCAGCGGCACCGCCGCAGATTTCCTCGATGTTTGCCTCCGATGAGGCCCTTCCTGATTCCCGTTCGATGTAATTTTTATACCACTGTGACCACCATCCTTTTCTCTACAAGTTGACTGGAGCAAAACACCAAATTGCAACTCACGCCGAAGGAGCCGCCGTACCCGAGAGCTTCGTCGCCGGTAAGTCTCAGTTTTCTGAAATTTTTTGGTCTACCGAGGGCCCTAGGGGTGTTTTATCACAGGAACCAATGCAAGTTTGGCCGAATTCGGCCGAAAACGGCCAACCCGAGGCGTATCACCGCCGTGGCGATGGTGTTGTCGCCGGAGCTCGGCGGAGCCACCGCGCTGGAATTCCGAAATTGGCCAAAAGGGTCCTAGGTCTGATTTGAGATTTTTTGAGAACATGTGCAGGTACCGGAAGTGTGTTTCAGTTTCCGGGAAAAAATTCAGGAAATCTAGGGACTGCCCGTAGGTGCAGTGAGAACCCGATTTCAGACTCCGAAATAAGTAAGGATCCCTCACCCTATTCCCTATCACGACATTAAAGGCTAATAAAATATAAAACGGTATTTTATGAATTAATAAATATGTATAATTGATTAAAGTTGCTAATGAAGACCGAATCTGATATATTTTCAGTCAAGTGTTGTTTGATTTATTTTACAGTTTTAAATGC